CTTTGGGCCAATAAAAGGACCAAGACCAGTCCCTGTGCTGAATTTATGGTGCTTTATTCAACCAGCAAACTGAGAGCACGTGATGGCCTTGGGTGACCGGGGAAGGCAGCCCACAGGAACGGCAGCTGTAGGCGGAGATTCCCGAGTAAAGCTTAGGTGAGCGTTAACCAGTCTCCTTTGTGCTTTACACCAGTTCTCCCATCACTTCCCCTAGAGAGGAGAAATCAGAGGTGCCAGGGTAGCAGGCACAGGACAAATGTGACCCACACACCCCCTGGGTGTGGTGCTCTGTCCCCTCTAGGGCCAGCGAGACCACTTCGAGATTAATGAGGCTACAGCCTTGGCTAAGGGCCACGTGGCAGTAGAGGCTCATGCACTAAGCTCCAGAGATCCCAGGTTCAATCCTGCCCGCCGATGACCAGGGTCTGTCAGTGTTACACAAACACCCGAGAAAACTAAAAAAAAAAAAAAAAAGATAGATAGTGGAGATTCTGCTCTCAGCGCCATAGGGCCAGGAAGGGAACCGCTCCAGAGGTGCCTGCTAAATCAGACACGAGCTACTGGGCTCAGACTCCTGCCAGAGCCGAGTAGCAGTCAAAGGTTGAAGTGCCACTGCTGTGTGTGTGTGTGTGTGTGTGTGTGCTTATACTTGTCTAGCACCAGAGGAAGGGGTGGGGATGAGCTAGACCAGAAAGCCTCCAGCCATGCTATCTCTCGAAGGTACTTACCTGGCCCCCCCTCACCATAGGATCTGAGCACATCACAGTCTTTAGTGTCTTTATCCTCACAATCCCCCGGGAGGTAGGGCAGTGCTACTATCCCCACATTATAGATGGGAAACTGAGGCCCAGCGAGACTAAGGGCTGGTCTATACTTAGCCGCTAGTTCGGCGGCTGGAAATCGAACTTCCGGGTTCGATTTATCGCGTCTGGTCTGGACGCGATAAATCGAACCAGGAAGTGCTCGCCGTCGACTGCGGTACTCCAGCTCAACGAGAGGAGTACCGCGGAGTCGATGGGGAGCCTGCCTGCCCCGTGTGGACCGCGTCTGAACCGCGGTAAGTTCGAAGTAAGGTATGTCGACTTCAGCTACGTTATTCACGTAGCTGAATTTGCGTACCTTACTTCGACTTGGGGGGTAAGTGTAGACCAGGCCTAAGGGTGAGTCCACAAAGTCCCTTTTTGGGCACCTCTGCGATCCACAAAACGCCCACCCAGCTGCTGCCTAATCCTGGAAGCACCTAACCTCCCCTGGCATCTCCGTTTTTTCCTCTGGCCATGTGCAATGCAACCTCTCGCCAGGCACCTGGTCATTTAGCTCCCATCTAAGCCCCAGCGTGAGCTCTCCTACCGGATCAGGCTCCTCGGGCGAGTTCACGCAAAAGAAGGTTTTCCCTTATCACCTTTAGCCCAGAGGGTAGGTACCCACCCAGGATGTGGGAGACCCCCGGTCCAAGTCCCCCTCTGCCTGAGGGGAAGAAGGGTCTAGCCCAGGGACCTGCCACCTCTCAGGAGAGAGCCCTAACTACCAGGCTAAAAGCGCTGTGCCGAGACGCTCACCGTTGTAACGCCTCGGTCCCTTCGTGGATCCCACCCCGCATGACAGGCCCAAGTTCACACAGGAAGTCTGTGGCTGAGTCCCTAACCACTAGCCCATCCTTCCTCCTCCACCCCCTCTGCTCACTCACTGGTGGCTGGTGCTGAGGGTGCGCAGGCTACATCCTTCTAAGGGGCAGGGGAGCTGCTGCTTCTGAAACCCTCTCCTGTGGTGGCCTCCTGCCTGCCTCCATCTTCAGCACGGAAAACAACCTCCTGGCAACTGCTTCTTGGGCACCAGCATTTCCACCCCCCGCGAAGCTGGGCTCCTGCTCAGGAAGCGACGGCAGCGCTCAGCGCCTCCGAGACCCTCTCCTGTTACTAGAGACTGGCTGAATCAGAGCCACCCGCTCAGCTCCCCAGCCGGAGCCTGGGATCCAGACTCATTCCGAGTCCGAACTGTGTGGCTTAGCCCCATCCGTGTCTATTGCATTAATACCAGAAAAGCTCAAAAAACCTCTGAAGGGTTTGGCCCCAGTCTCGGGAGCCTTCCTGCCCTGAGCTGCTGCAGCCAGCTCTTAGTTTTGTCTCAACATTCAAACAACGAAGAGTCTTAGCAATTCAGACTCTCCTGAGTGGAGACTGCCTAGAAGGCGGATGCCAGGCAGGGCAGCTGTCTGTGTGCAGCGTGCGGATGCAAAACATGTGCCCTGCTGGGGATTATTGCTCTGATGGGAAATGCGCTGTCAGTTGAGAGTAGTTTTTCCAGCTGAACTTGTGCGATAGACCTCAGGGGTCCAAAGGATACAATTTCTGTGTAAATTATTCTCATTAACAAGAGCATTTATGTACGACTCCAGCTGGATCATCCCATTATGTCTAGGCCAATTATCAAGGTTTTACAGCTCGGTTTATGGGGTTTCCTGGTGTTCCTCCTTTTCTCAGCTGTTTGAACACAACGGTTTTGGAGCATAATTTGCTCGTAAGCGGAGGGTTGGCTTAGGGGACGTGTACGCTGCATTAAAAGACCAGCCACACGGGGCTGGCCCAAGTCAGCTGATTTGGGCTCCCAGAGCTAAAAATTGCCATGCATATGGTCAGGCGTGGGCTGGAGCCCGGGCTCTGAGACCCACCCCCTTGTGGGGTTTCAGAGCCCAGGCTCCAGCCCGATCATCCACACTGCAGTGTTTAGCCCCATAGCCCTACAACCCTGAGTCAACTGCCCCGGGCTCTGAGACTCGGGGCCATGGGTTTTTGTTGCAGTGTAGACGAACTCTGAGTGGCCCAAACCTAAGGTTTGAAATACCTGGACAACAGGCTCAAATCCCAGAAGAGCCGGCCTCGTCCCTTCATTCTCCTGAAGCTGATAAAATAAATCCCCTATGATTTCCTGTGGGTGGCTCTTTGGGATAAGTCCTCTCTCTGCCTCTGGTGTGAGTACCCCAGGCCACCTCTCCAAGAACAGGCCTTTGGCAGGTGTGCTTGGTCCCAATCCCTTCCCTCTGCCTGGAATGCTGCTATGTCTCAGCTGATTAATGTCTTCTGCCTCCTGGCTTCGGGGTGTCCAGGCTGCGGATCCTACAGCACTCTGGAGTTTGGCCTGAACCATATAAGCGTACAGTATTATTCACCCGTCTCAAGTAACAGCAATTACCGTCACCAAATACACCCTGGATCTACCTGTGGCTTGCATTCTCCTTCATTCTCCACGCTGAGCTGGGTTCCACTTTCCCTGCAAGAGTGGGAGAGAGAGATCCACTATCACACGGCTTCGCATAAGAGCACGGTTAAATTAAGATCTGGGGTGCCCAGAACGAGCAGCGCGGCTGGGACAGGCATGTTCATATTTACCGCCCACACTGCCAGGCGGGCATTGCCAATTCTTTCCATTGGAGCCAGCCCCTTCCTCATCCACAGGCTGCCGGAAGACGGCGCCTCCTCAGGCATTCTGGTAGTTTTGGTTTGATCCCTTAGTCTCACCAGGCTCTAGAGAGGGACGCATGGTCCCCGTGGTGCAAACTCGTGACATTGGCATCGTGGGTGTTGGACGCCCGCCTTGGCTAGAGGATGCACGGCTCCGCGTGGTGACCTAGGAGCAATAGGCACTGCAGAGACCGTAACAAACCTCAGCTGAAAGGCTGCCTGCTCAGCAGGAAGTGATCAGCGAAACCACCCACAGCATCGGGAGTTCAGAGGCCCAAGGCCTCAAAAGTGTTCAGGCTCCCAACGTCTATTGAAATCCATGGGCCTCAGTCCCTCTTCCTCAGGGCTGCACTAAAATAAGCCAGCTCGACATAAGTTCTCCATCAGCCAGGTCCTTCCCGCTGGCTCAGGAGTCGATCTACAGCCTCCAGCTCTCACTCCCCCGGCCTGGAAATTAAGAGTCGCTCTGCTCCCTTCTGCTGAGTCTTTTCTCCAGCTTCCAGCCTTCCTCGCCTGCTCCCTTCAGGTCTCTCTCCCCAGGCATCCTGCCTGGGAGCTGGGGGGAACCTCTCTACCTGAGCTGAGGCGCCTGCTCGTTATATACTGGCTGGCCTGGTTCTGAGTCCCCAAGCTTTGACCATGGGATCCCTGGAAGGGGGGGTGAGCCTGGGGCAGAGCGCAGCCGAGCTGCAATCCCCTTAAAGGGCCCGCTCGCCCTGTGACACTGCCCCTCGGAAGGAGCTAGTGGTGTACGGCTGCTCTCAGGAGAGCCCGTTACTAGTTTGCACTCACCACATTGCTGAACACAGGAGACATCTGTTGCCATATTTCACACCATCCGTGCCACAGACGGGATCGTACCCCTTTGGGCGGAAAAAGGGGCCACGCTTCCTTGCTTGTGGATACCTACTGCAGGCAACCTGAAAAAGCGATTGCACAATGCTCCAAACTCGTTCAATGAGGTTGTTGTTGCTAGTCGTTTGCCCATCTATAGCATATTCTAGTAAGCAGAGGACATCTTTTCTCTCCCCCTTCTCTTCACTTCTCTTTCCGCTGTGTCTGTCTGTGTTCAGGGGCAACGGACTTGACTAGACCAACAGCTTTGGTAAATGAGCAGAGAACGTTTTGGCTGCAGACCTGTTGCCGTTTCCATCAATGACCAAGTCAAAGCAGGACCTGTAGCTCGAAATGTTCCTGCCCGGCGAGGCCAAGAGCAGAAGCTTTGTGTCGTGTGTGGCTACTGAGCCTTAGCCCACAATAAAAGATGCCTAAGATTTGGCACTAGCCGTGGGGGGACACCCAAGTGATATCGAAGTAACTATTAGCCGCAGCAGGTAGCTGCACGAAGATTTTGAGTGTAGAGCTCTTTTCAGTGGAGTGGAGGGTGTCATGTCAGAGCTTGTGGGAACTGGAACTTCTGGCCCACAGAAAGTTCACGTTTCCCCCCCGGAATTGGTTCCGAATCAGAACGAACAGCTGGAAATGGGAAGTTTTCTGCAGAAGGGAAAATTTCAAAACATTCCATTTTGGAAGGGAATTTTTTCAAACTTTCCAGGCCAGCTCCGTGGCTGGCTGGCTGGCTTGGGAGCTGGGTGGCCTAGAGACCCTGTCTGCCCCCGAGCCCAGGCGGCCGACCTGGGGTTCCCACAGAACATTTAGATTCCGTTGAATCAGCGTGTTCTGATGGGAAATGTCCAACCAGCTCTGCTTAGAGCTCCTTGCTGAATGTCTGAGACACCTTGAATCACAGGATCAAATCCTACCAGAGTCCGCTCAGCTCTTCATTCTTGCATGGTCCATGTGTTCACTCCCCTGCGGTTTCCTTGTCTGTAAACCAAGGTCCTGTCTCCTCTGTGTGAGGCTTAAAGATCCCCTGGCAGGTTTTGTAGGAACAGGACTTTTCCCTGGGGTAATATTACTCCTCCCCACCTCTGTACACAAGTGGAGCCCTGCTCTCCACCCCGGTGATGGCTGCATTTCCACAGGGCGCTGTAGTTTGTAAAGCCTGTGGGATTGCATGCCATATAAAAATGTAAACTATGATATGCCTGGATTTACCTTTTCCCCACATTTTCCTTTATGCTTCATGCCAATGTTGATTCCAGTTTCCCTGTGAGAGAGAAGGAGAGATTAAAACTACTGAGTCTCCCTGCAGAATATAACTATAATGGAACAACTGTACCCATTTTTCTCTTCTCTGCTATACCAGGATGGTATATTTTGCCCATTAGTCTAGTCTGAACTGATTTTTTTCACCCCCATGCCTCCATGAGCTGCCTCCTGATGCATTCTGGGATCTGATTGCGCTAGGTACTGTACAAATATATCATAAAAAGGTAGCCCCAGGCCCAAATAACTCACCAGATTGCTGAGCACAAGAGGCACTTGTTGCCGTACGTCATGTCATTTGTGCCACAGACGGGCTTGTACACCTTTGGGCAGAAAAAAGGCCCTCGCTCCTTTGCTCGAGGGTACCTGTTACAATCGACCTGCAAGAACAATTACACACAGGCATTATCATCACTGTCAGTAAAGCCAGTACTTTGCCCAGATACAGCACAGAGCAGTCAGCTTCACCAAAGCACCCTGAGGTATGTTGATATTATCCCCATTTTACAGATGAAGGGAGGGGAAATCTTCTGGCAGAAGCAGGAGGACAGGCCTGTTTTCCTACCTCCCAGCCCTGTGCTTTCCCGACTCCTCTGAATGAGCGTTAAAGATCCCCTCATACTTTTGTAAGAGGAGGATTTTCCCAAGTGTCTTTCCTTGGTCAATACTTCCCCTCTCCACACACAAGTCGATCACTGTGCTCCACCCTAGTGATGGCTGCAACTAAGGTGACCATATAGCAAGCGTGAAAAATCAGGACGGGGGTGGGGGGTAATAGGTGCCTGTACAAGCCAAAGCCCCGAATATCAGGTCTGTCCCTATAAAATCAGGACATCTGGTCACCATAGCTGCATTTCCGTGGTGCTCTGTGTATATACAGTAGTTTGTAAAGCCTTCAGGATGAAGCCTGCCAGGTAAACATAACGTATAACACACCTGGATTTACCTTGGGCTTGCGCTCTTGTTTACCCCTTATGCCAATGTTGACTCTAGTTTCTCTAGATGGAAAAAGAGAGATGATGAATATGACTATTCCCTTCATAATAAAATGTCTCATCTGAATTGAATTAACCAGAGGAAGATGGGCTGTCCCGTATGAGAGGTTCTATTGGGGCAGGGCCATTCACATTTATCCTCTCTGGTAGACAGGCATGTTGCCCAAAATTGTTTGCCAATTGTTCCAGTTTGAACCCATCCTTTTTGTGCTAACTGGTTGCCATAGGTCACAATGCGCGGCCTCCAGATGCATTCTGGGGTTTTTAGTCTGAGCCTCCAAGAAGAAGCCTGCGCAGAGCCTGTGGGAAAACAGCAGGGTGACCAGACAGCAAGTGTGAAAAATTGGGACGGGGGGTGGGGGGTAATAGGCGTCTATATAAAAAAAAACCCCAAATATCGGGACTGTCCCTATAAAAGCGAGACATCTGGTCACCCTAAACAGTGAAGTCTTAACTCTGAAACAATTACTATGCAAATATGTTGGATGAAATCCTGGACCCAGTAAATTCCCAAGTAAAATTCCCAAGGAAGTCAGTGCAGCCCCAGTGTCGCTCGTTGCCGTCTCACTTCAGAGATGCACCCCCGGCGTGTCTGAGCGCAATACATTACACCTGCTCTGCAGGAGTGAGCCAACTCAGCCGAGAGCCCGAGAACTGAGGATTCAGTGGGTCTTGTGCAATGTCAGCAGCATGCAACTCACATCTGTGCAAACTCCCAAAGACAATGGAGTTGCACAATAGTCGCTGAGAGCAAAACTGGAAGATGATGGGGTTACATGGTGATCACATAATTTAGCCTGCAGAACGTTTTTCGGGTTGATGATATGCAAGATGGAACATACCCAGCTCTGCTGTCAGAACACAGGCTGAGCTTTGCAGGTAGAAAATAAAATTGCTCATAAACAGGGCACGTTTGATGACAGATAACAGCCATGAAGCACGTAAGCCTCGGTATGCCATTTCCAGTATCACTGCGGAGAGCAGCACCTGAGCGTGAGGACTGTCCCACCCACTGACACACACACCTACCGGCATAAGGACTGACAGCGCCAATGCCACGTCCTCTGCCCCAGCAGAGCTGACGGTCGCATCAGGGAGCTAGCAATGAATGCACTCACCGTGCTGCTGCACACAAGAGGCACTTGTTGTCGTAGAGCAAACCGTTACTGCCGCAGACTGGTTTGGACTCTGGGGTGCAGATAAAGGGTTTGCCCTCTGCTTGTGTCAGGTGCTCACTGCAGCCTTCCTGCAGAAGGTTCCAGACATATTCATGAGTGAGTTTTTATCACTGTTACTATTTGTTGATCCTCCTGATTCACCACTATCCTTGTGTCCATTTTACACCAATGGAACAATGTGTGAGGGGAATCAGGCCACAGGTTATTACTGATCATAGCAAGGTAGATTGATAGGGAGATGGATGGAAGGGTCCCCATATCGTCTAAGGGGCAGAGTCTCAGAGGGCTTTACGTCACCTGTAGCATTTGGCTTTTCTTAGCAGCCCTGGGCATTTTCACTAGTTTCTCAGTGCAAACTGTGTTGGGAAAAAAAGACAGTCTAGTCTGGGAATTCTAATTTGCTCCAGGAGAAAGGCGAGCTCAGACACTGTATGAAGGGAAGGTCCCCTGGAGTAGGGTGCCCATACGTCCCGTTTTGGCTAGGACAATCCCTTTTTTAAGCCCTGTCCCGGCCGTCCCCACTTTTTTGGGTTCCAGTTAAGAAATGGGAGTGGGGATGGAACGTGAGAATTCATAAAGCAGAAGAGCTGAACAAACCTGCTTCTCACCTTGACAGGCAACACCTGGAACAAAAATTGCAGACACACAAGCTAGGATGAGACAAAAATCATCTGGGAGGGCGACCACATTTATACACACTAACCCTGCTAGTGAGAAAACTTCCACTGAATTAAGGTTTCCTGCACTGAATTGCACCGACCATGTTACTAAATAAAAGGGGCTTTTCAATTGCTTATTTCAGCATATTTTTCAGATTTGCTGGTCCACAAAATAATGCAGCATATCAGCACGGAGTTGGCAAACGTGTCCCAGGATTGTTGGCTTCTGTGGAGTCTGACCATTTAGCCACTGGCATTGTTTGTGAGGTCCCAGGGGAGGGGTCCCAGAGAGTGTCCCTTTCAGAGGGATGGGATCTACATAGGAAAGTTAACAAACCAGGTGAACACCTTTTATGCACAGGGCCCAATCTTGCTCCCATTTAAGTCCGGGGGATAAGGACCAGGCCCAAAATGTTCAGTTTCCTCAGTGACAGCCTTCACAAAGATCTCTTTTTGGGAATCAGTCATTTCTCCAATGTCATGACGCAATAACAAATATTGTTTCATGTTGCCAAAAGAAGGTGGAAATGCAGCCACTTCTGGGGTGCAACCAGCTGTTACCCAGGACATTCCGCAGCAGTGTGGAGAAGGAGGGAAATATTGTCAAAGGACCCTGTTGCTAATCCTTATACAAAGAGCCCTGAAGTCTCTGCTGCCCGTGCAGAACAAACAGCCCCTCAGCTCTCTTCATAAAGGTGGGCAGGATTCTGACCACTAAGGGTCCAGGCTGCACAAGGGTGAGCCGAGAGGTGGAAAGCGAAGGGCTGTGGCCCGGTTACCGCAAAGGGCACTCACCTGAGAAGCAGCAAGAGAGAAGTGCCAGAGCAAGGGGCACAGAGATCCCTTTTGACTTCCTGGTGGCGGTAACTGTGCAATCCATGTGGAGACCATTCGCGCTCTGCTCAGTAGATGCTCCCTTAATAAGCCTCAGAGGCAGAACCCACATATGCTCCTGGGCCGAGTCTCCACCTCAACTGCGAAATCACCTTCCAAAGCCACCCCGACACTGGACAGCATGACCAGTTTCCTCTGGAAGGACCTCTCCACATGCACTTTGCCCTCTTTACCTCACCAGGGATTGCTGTATCGAGATGATTCTCTGTCTTTGCCAGACTGGTAGGTCGGCGCCTGAGCTGAGGTGTGGTGGGTTTGCACCTGATATAAATCTACTGAGCCCAGAACCTTCTGCTGAGGAGCAGATGAACTGGCACGGCTTGTGGGACTTTTCGTCCTGGGCTCCATGGAACGCTCGGCAAGGTTCCTGTTTGTTGTTGTAGAAACTCAGCCGAGTCCAGCGCAGGCTGGCCAACAGCCTCACCTCTCCCCACCAGCTCCAAATCCCTTCGGGCTGATTGTTCATTTCCACCCCCCAAAGCCTCCTAGGTGTGAGAACAATGGGGTATTACTCATCAATCCAAAGGTGGATAAGCTCTGGTGACCTCCGCCACCGTCCTCAATGGTTGGGTGAGGCCCTGTTGCATTCTGGGAAAACACAACTCAATCCTGTGGTCCCAATGCACATGATTTATTGGTTAATGCCTAGAATGTAATAACTAAAAGAACTCACAACATAAGTATCCCCGTGTAGCCGCTCTCTCACTCTTTAAGGTGTCCCCTCGGCAGGCATGATGCTACGGGTGAGTCCTGCCTGGATTTCCTCACCCTGAGTATAAACATGTCCAAGTAGGCCTGCAGGTACTAACAATTCCCTCTTTGGAGGGTCTCATTTATTCAACCAAAAAGAACAACACAAAAGTGGAACCTGAAGTCAGCGTCGCCACCGGAAAACGCGCTGCCTCCAGGTTAATCAATCTTACGTCTTGGCTCTGTAGCCCTGGGGCACTCAGGCCGAATTCCCTGTCTTGAGATCAGACTTCTGTGGAGCGTTCTGCCGCTGCCACTCTTCCCCTGACAGCGCGGCACTCTTTGCTAAGTCCCTCATAGCAACCGGGAAGGCCCCATGCCCAGTTCGTTCTCTGGAGCTGCTCCTGTCCCTTCCCTGGGAACACTTTCTCTCTGCAACTGCTTCTCTCTCTGTAAGCCCCTTCTCGCCAGAAGTCCCTTCTCCCTGGCAGTAGCTTCCCGGCACACGGGGCTTCCTGCTACGGTCTGAGAGATCCCTTTGCTGAGACCCAGGCCTTCCTGGATGTCTGCTTTCTGCAGCTCTGCCTTGGGAATCTCCTGCCTCCAAGAGCATCTCCTTGGCTCCCTGTTCTGGTGGGATCTCCAGACAGTTCCCTGTCTCCAGGGAGCCCCGGTGATCTGGGAGCTCCTCTCCTCAGGATTGTCCTGTCTCTTGGTATGTCTACACTATGAAATGAGGTCGATTTTATAGAAGTCGATTTTATACAGTCGATTGTATGTGTCCCCACTAAGCACATTAAGTTGGCGGAGTGCGTCCACAGTACCGAGGCTAGCGTCGACTTTCGGAGCTTTGCACTGTGGGTAGCTATCCCACAGTTCCTGCAGTCTCTGCCTGCTGAAGGCTGACCTGGGGATACTGGAGGAGAAAGTAGCTTTCTTGCAGGCAGTCACAGGCAGACTGGGCCCTGATCCCCCTTAAAGGGCCAGTCGCCCCATGGCACCCTGAGGTCACACGACATTCTACCACTTATCCAGTTTGAATCAAAGGTGTTAATGTCCAATTGGGAAGCTGGGCTCCTGTTATACAGCTACAAGTCCTCAAATGGAAGGACATTCTCAGTGCTGGCTGGATTTCAATTTGTGGTCTACCTTGAATGGCTTAGTACAAAAAGGGACAAATCCTAAACACTGACTTGATGAAGATGATGGCCAAATACTACAGTCAGTGGCAGTTACCACCAAGCGATGCTCATTGAGTTCTGAGTGTTTTCCATCTTTATAACGCCAGAGCCAGCCAAGAACTGTCTCAATGAGCATCGCTTGAAACACAAATCCCACCCAGTCTACCTTGGCATAACCCTAGATAGTAGCTGTGAAACAAAATGATCTGATGAATTGAAGCATTTTTATTCTGGGCAGGAAATGGCTAAGAACAGACTTTGACGTTGGAAGTATCTGTTTGGAATCACTCAGAACCAAGCTTTGTACACTGTCTTGCCCCACGGCGGAGGAGGAGAGATTATTTACTTTCAATCATACGGGTCGAGAGCTCCTTTGCGTCCTCACACCAGCCCCCTGGCATCCCGGGGACAGTCAGCTTTGCTGTCATACCCAAGTAACCCAGCCCATTCTGGGCTCCAGGTGCCCAGTCCCTACAGCTGTGGCAGCTGCTTTCAAGTCCAGGCACCGGCCCGTTTGTGTGTCACTCTCGTTTGGACGGGCCAGCTCGGCCTGGCGGGAGGGGAAGTGGTGACGTGGTATCAATGGACAGCCAGGGACGCCGTGTTCATAGGCTGGGGGCAAAGGAAGACTCCCCCCAGTGCAGCCCCAAATTGAGGCAGCTGATACTCCTGCTGAGGACCAAGCAAGGTCGGCAGATTGTTGGTCTGCCGCACAGGGGCATGAAGGCACCACAGACCCTGGCCAGAGGGTCCCGGTGGTCTCCTGTGCACCAACAAGGAGATGGACAGCCGCTGCAGCTGCTGGGTCTGGGCGGGTTTGGGAGGAATGTGGGGAGCGAGTTGGGTGCGTGGGGGGAGGGAAGGTTAAAAATCACAGAAGTAAAGAATTTGGCTGAGTTTACTTTATTGAACATCAGCTGTAGAGTCAGCGATGGTGGCAGGGGCAGAGTCCGTGTCTCCATGTGGGGATCTGCTGGCGGAAACTAAAAGCAGAAAGGATCCAGCTCCACCTCAGCCCTCAGCACCATCGAGGATTCAGCATTTTCCTTCTTGCTTAAAGCAAAGACTTCCAAGGTTTTCCCTAGAAGGAAAGACAGAGACACAGAACTCAGGGCTGCAACCTTATGGGCAACGAGGGCAAAGCTTCGGTCAAGGCCCCATTATGTCAAATTAACCAGAGCTTATTCGCTGACAGGAAAAATTAGACTGAGGAAGTTGACCCAGCCTGTAGGAGGTAAAGACAGATGGGTACAGGCAGGGGCTACAGTGACATGACAATTGTGTTTTAGTTTTTATGAATGGGCCATTTATTCCTGTACTCACCAGACTGCTTTGCAAAAGAAGCATTTGTTGCTGTATGTTTTGTTATCAGTGCCACAGATCGGGTGTAAGTCCTTGGTGCAGACAGAAGGTGGCTTCTTGTACTCACTGCAGAAACCCTGTGGCTGATGTTATTAATTAATGATTATTATTATTATTAATGCCATTCTCTGTATTACATGAGGGCCCTGCTGGTGTCCCCTGGTGCTGGGTGTGCTCTGTCCCTGCCTCTAACCTGCCCCTCAGCTCTGACGAACTGATTTCCCAATTCCCCTCTTGCTGCCAGCAGGAGCTAAGAAAGGGCAACCACACTGCCCGTCTCCCTGGTCCCCGAGACTCTTCCCAACCCGCATCACAAGGAGTGTGAGCGAAGGGGCGTCTGCGCAGGCAGCTGATGCTCAAATATAAAACTCCTCATGCTCTTGTGATACCGTCCCCTCCCCCTTCTGTCTCTGAGTTGCTTCCGGTGCCTCCCTGAGGCCCATCACAGACAGTGTCCTGTCCAGTAAAGGATGGAATCCATCACTCGGACCACATGGCATCTCAGCCCCAGGGATTCACTCTCCCCTCAAGCCAGCTCCCAATTTACTCCTGAGTCCTAGCATGTTTCTAACCCAGAGATCATGGGCTCCTTGATGTTACAAACCAGGGGGAGGGAACAATTAATTAACAGTGAGAGTTGGACTCACCTTACCATCCTGACCAGTAGCATCTGGAACAAAGACACAGACACAAATGACACAATGAAGGGAAATGCTGGCGGGAAAGTCACTTAAGAACATTCATCTCTGTAGGACAATGCATGCAGCTTCCTCACTGGCAAATGTCACCATGGGAAGGTTCCCTACACTAACCCCAGCTGTACCATAATGTAACTCCATGACCCTCACCAGCAGGTCCACAGCAGTGTGTGTGAGATGAGAATCAGCCCCCGGTGGGAATGGAGATTTACAATCAGGCTAGAAAACCACAAAGGAATGTCTGATGGAAGCATGGAGACAAATGCGCCCGCAGTCAGACCCGTAAATACTATCATCATTGCCCAGGATTAACTGCAGGCGCGATTGTTTGCAGCGCCCAGAGTGGAGTTTGGTTAAAAGCCCATAATGGCCCCTCAGTAACATCTTTCCAAAGGAAATGGCTGTTTCTGCCATGAGCCACTTCCCCTGCTTATGACACCCAAACGTCCATAGCTGTGCTCAGCTGGTTTTGAACAGTCGAGCCCCTGCTGAAGGTTAGAGGGTCAGACACAGAGCTCTGTACAGGCTGCAGCAAAAGTTACTCACCCTGAAAGCTGAAGAAGAGCCCCAGAGCGAGGAACACAACGACAGCTGCTGTCTTCATGGTGGACGTGGTTCGTGGGTCTGAGGGAGTCTGATAGTGCTGAGCTCTGAAGATGCTCTCCCAATGCAGCCCAAGGGAGGAGATCTCATATATATAGACAAGAGGTTGGGCTCTCCAATTGGATTATGAAATCCCTGTCGAAATGGTCACTGATTCTATAAACCACTACAATGAATGGTCATTCCCTATTCCTATTCATGATGGCTCATTGATCATCTAAGTCAGATGTACATTTTGCTCCCTGATTAGTTGGCTAAAACTTTTCCAGCTGGAAGGTCAGGTGTGCCGAACAACAAATAACAAATACTCTTGTTCATGCATGACAATCCTTCTTGTCAGATGAGCCCAGTGTTGGCATGAAGAACGTTCCCCATCCCTAATGCAAATAAACCTCACAATACAGGACGCTCATAAGTGGCGGCTACGAAAACACTTTGGGGATTGCAATAAATATTCGTGAGGAAAGTTACATTGTTCTCACACGCATGGCTAATTCTACCGAAATGGTAAATCTTAGTACACCATTGTAGAGAGGAGAGATAATTTACATTTGGCCTATGTGTCCGTGCACTGTTGCTTGCTCAGAACAGCTGCTTTGCATCACTCACGCTAGACTATGCTATCATGCCCCAGTAACCCAGCACATTCCAGGGTCTGCGTGTCCTGTTCCTAACACACCGGCGGCTGCTTTAGTGTTCAAGCACCTGCCAGCCTGTTTGTAACAGGTCTTGGGACACTCGAGCTCAGGCAGGAGGGAGCAGATGTTTGGCGGATAAAGGTGTCTGCGCAGATGTGACAGACGTAGACTTTCTACTTAGTACCTCACAACATGCTGACTAAAAACATTATAGATTATCATTATACAGTTAGCATGATACAATATCACTAGGGCACATGTTAAATGGATTATTAACTGCCTATTTCATAGGCCTCAACAAGTAGTTGTTAAGAGGAAATAATCAGTGAATGAGGGTGGTTCTAGTGAGGTTCTGCATGGATCAGTGCTAGGTGTGGCAGTCTTCGACTTTTTTCATCACTGCTCTGGAAGTGAAAAATAAAGAGCTGCTGATACAATTTGTGGATGACACTTCGGTTGCATCCGAAGAAGTGAGGTTTTTACCCACGAAAGCTTATGCCCAAATATATCTGTTAGTCTTTAAGGTGCCACCAGACTCCTTGTTGTTTTTGTAGATACAGACTAACATGGCTACCCCCTGCTACTTGACAAAGGTTGGAGGAGTGGCATCTAATGATGAGGGCAGGGCCATCAAACAGAACGATATGGATTGCTCTGTAAGATGTTCTGTAACATACAAAATAGGTTTTAATACAGCCAATGAAAAGTTATCCATTTGGGTCTACAGGCTGCAGGCTGGCCCTATAGAATAGGGGACAGTCTCCTGGAAAGCAGAGACTGTGAAACGGAGCTAGGGTTCATCGTGGGCAAGCAACTGAATGTGAGCTCCCGGTGTAGCGAAAATGGCTAATGCGATCCTTTGACTGTAGAAGCAAGGCAGTGTAGGAGTCAGGAGGTGATTTTACCGCTGTACATGACAGAGCGAACAGGGAAGTTTGAGAGGGGGAGAAGGAGATCCCCCTGCTGAACGAAGAAAGTGCGAGGACTAACTTTGGGGTGAGTGAGTTTGTTTGGCTGTTTGTGTTTTTCTTTCAGGTTACTTCAGGTATTTTCAGTTATTTCAGTTACTGGGTCAGTTGGGACTGTGTCTCTGGCGACTATTTGAGCCTTTGTTCCCTGGATCATCCTTGATCATCTTTGATCAGCCTTGTGATCACTCTCCCCCTGTGTGATTAACGAGGGGGTAGGGCTGACCTAGGAGAGAGGGCCTTAAAAGCCAGAGGCTAAGCGACCAAGGGGAGCTAGCGAACAGGAGACCGGAAACAAGGGAGTTTGTGGGTGGGAGACGTAATATAATTGTTATGGTTAGGAAGGGCCATATCGCCACTGCCAACGCTGCTCCTGTCTCCTCCATCTGCACCTGTATCCAGACAGAGAACCTAACCATGGATGCCTCTACCCAGATCCTGGTGTGGATTTGCAGAGACTCTGGCCTGCATTTCCCACTCACAGAAAGCTGGGCTGGGGGGGCCATCCAGTGTGAGTGGTGTTTGCTGGTGGAATCTCTCAGGAAGCAGGTGGGAGAGCTACAGGAGGAGCATCCGTGCCCATGAGGAATTCCTCAAGAGTATTCATATGGAGACATCCAAGGCTGAGGAGGCTATCAAGCTACAGAGGACTGCTGTCACACCACCGGGGGAGGAGGATGTGGCTCTGCCCAGGGCCAGCTTTAAGACCTGTGGGGCCCGATTCGAGTACCCGGCGGCGGTTCGGGTCTTCGGCGGCACTTTGGCGGCGGGGGGTCCTCTCCATGTCTTCCGTGGCACTTAAGGACCCCCCGCCGCTGAAATGCCACCAAAGACCCTGGAGCGGACCCCCTCCCCGCCGCTGAAATGCCGCCGGAGTGGACTGCCGCCTGGTGAGCCTAAGGTGCGGGGCCCTCTTACCCGCAGGGCCCGATTCTGGGGAATCGGCCTAAAGCCGGCCCTGCTCTGTCACACGGAAGACACTGGCTGCTGGTTACTTCTGGCAGCAGGCAGTGCTCCATCCGTACTTCCAACCTACCCACCCGTGGTGATGGAAAGCCGTTTTGCTGCCCTGGCAACGAGCGATGAGGAATCACCCCCAAAGGTGGAGGAGGAGAAGCCATGTACCCCCAAGGCTGGGAGGATCACAGCCACCACTTCCAGGAGGAAACGTAGGGTAGGGGTGATTGGTGACTCTCTTCTGAGGGAGACAGAGGCACCCATCTGTTGCCCTGACATGGCATCCCAGGAGGTATGCTGCCTGCCAGGGGCCGTATCCGAAATGTTACGGAGGGTTTATCAAGGATCATCCAGCCCTCTGACTACTACTCCATGCTACGCATCCATGTGGATACTAATGATACTGTGAGGTATGACCCTCAGCAGATCAGAAGTGACTGCAGGGCTCTGGGAGTGAGGGTGAGGGTGAGGGAGTTGGGAGTGCAGGTGGTGGTCTCTTCGATCCTTCCCGTCAAGGCAGAGACAGATGCATCCTGGAGGTGAATGCCTGGCTGCGAGGATGGTGTCACCAGGAGGGCTTTGGCTTCCTTGACCACAGGATGCTGTTCCAGGGAGAAGGATTGCTAAGCAGAGATCGGGTCCACCTATCGAGGAAGGGGAAGAGCAGATTTGGATTCAGACTGGCTAACCTAGTGAGGAGGGCTTTAAACTAGGTTTGAAGGGGGCAGGTGACCAAAGCCCACAGGTAAGTCAAAAACATGGAGACCCAGGAGAAGGTTCGGAATTTGGGTGGGGAACATGGGCTGTTATAGCAGGGATAAAGGAGAGACAAGACAGAACTGGGGGTGGCGGAATCAAATCAGTATCTTAGATGTCTGTACACTAATGCGAGAAGTATGGGGAATAAGCAAGAACTCGAAATGCTAGTAATTAAACACAACTATGACATAGTTGGCATCACAGGGACTTGGTGGGGTAATACGCATGGCTGGAATATTGGTATAGAAGGGTACAGCTTGCTCAGGAAGGACAGGCAGGGAAAAAGGGAAGAGGTAATAATAATATAATATATGGAGATATACCTATCTCCTAGAACTGGAAGGGACCTTGAAAAATCATCAAGTCCAGCCCCCTGCCTTCACTAGCAGGACCAAGTACTGATTTTGCCCCAGATCCCTAAGTGGCCGCCTCAAGGATTGAACTCACAACCCTGGGTTTAGCAGGCCAATGCTCAAACCACTGAGCTATCCCTCCCCCTTATATATTAAAAATGTATACATTTGGACTGAGGTTGAGCTGGAAATCGGAGACAGACTTGTTGAAAGTCTCTGGGTAAGGATAAAAGGGGTAAAAAACCAAGGGAGATGTCATGGTAGGGGTCTACTACAGACCACTGAACCAGGAAGCAGAAGTGGATGAGGCTTTTTTTAAACAACTAACAAAATCATCCAAAGCACAGGACTTGGTGGTGATGGGGGACTTCAACCACTCAGACATCTGTTGGGAAAATAACACAGCAGGGCACAGATTATCCAACGAGTTCTTGGAATGTATTGGAGACAATTGTTTATTTCAGAAGGTGGAGAAAGCTACTGGGGGAGAGGCTGTTCTAGATTTGATTTTGACAAATAGGGAGGAACGGGTTGAGAATTTGAAAGTGGAAGGTAGGTTGGGTGAACGTGATCATGAAATGGTAGAGTTCATGATTCTAAGGAATGGTAGGAGGGAGAACAGCATAATAAAGACAATAGATTTCAAGAACGCAGACTTTAGCAAACTCAGGGAGTTGGTAGGTAAGATCCCACGGGAATCAAGTCTAAGAGGAAAAAAAATTGAAAACAGTTGGCAGTTTTTCAAAGAGATACTATTAAGGGCACAAGAGCAAACTATCCCACTGCATAGGAAAGATAGGAAGTATGGCAAGAGACCACCCTGGCTTAACCAGGAGATCTTCAGTGATCTAAAAATCAAAAAAGAGTCCTACAAAAAGTGGAAACTAGGTCAAATTACAAAGGATGAATATAAACAAATAGATGCAGGGACAAAATTAGAAAGGCCAAGGCACAAAACGGGATCAAACTAGCTAGAGACATAAAGGGTAACAAGAAAACATTCTACAAATACATTAGAAATAAGAGGAAGACCAAGGACAAGGTAGGCCCTTTACTCAATGGGGCAGGGGAGGGAAATAATAACAGAAAATATGGAAATGGCAGAGGTGCTTAATGACTTCTTTGTTTTGGTTTTCACCAAGAAGGTTGGTGGCGATTGGACGTCTAACATAGTGAATCCAGTGAAAATGAGGTAGGATCAGAGGCTAAAATAGGAAAAGAACAAGTTAAAAATTACTTAGACAAGTTAGATGTTTTCAAGTCACCAGGACCTGATGAAATGCATCCTAGAATATTCAAGGAGCTGACTGAGGAGATATCTGATTC